CACCCGGCAGTACCGGTTGTACCGACAGTACCGCCCGTGCCGACCGTACCGGGAGTATCGGTTGTACCGACAGCACCGGGAGTATCGGTTGTACCGACAGCACCGGGAGTACCGACAGTACCAGCTGTACCGGGAGTACCGACAGTACCAGCTGTACCGGGAGTACCGGGAGTACCAGGAGTACCGGTAGTACCGACCGTACCAGCCGTGCCGACAGTAGGGACAGTAGTTGATACTGCTATTCACGGTGCCCTCGGACATGCTGCTTTGCCTTGTTCACTATTAACCGGATGTATGGGATTCAGGGCGAGATATATTACCCCAATGATGTCGATGTATATGGGGTTACCATATTATGGTAGAGGATTGGTAGCAGTTGCATGACTCGCGATACCAATACTTATTGTTTGGCTTTTTGTCACATTCATTGCGCCGTCGCCCTAGGACCTATATTCCTTAGTTAGTTTCTGTACAATGGAGAACACAGAATACGAAAAAGTGTACATTGTATTTATCAAAATGGAAAGTATAATTAATCAATACGATGACCATTATAAATAACCGAAATTAGTAAAGCATAATATCATAATATTATGAAAAAAGCGAAAGACCCCAAAATGACTAAACTGATCAATATAACTTATAGTTAATTACTCATTTATAGAATATTAAAAAACGATACAATCCAAATGACCTATTCTAACTATCCTATACAATTACTTACACTTTTCAATGAATGAATACTCATTTTTTCTTTAATATATAAATATTCTCGGGTAATTTTTCTTCTTAAGATATATTTGAATTTGTCATCCTAAGAAATATCCATGTATGAATACATAAAAATAAAGTTAAATCATAGGGTACATATATTTTGATGTTCATCTGTACAATAATTTTTTGTCTTATGAAAGCCATAAAATTCCGAGATTTAATACATGTGTATATATAAACTATTCGTTTTTATCACATTTTAATCAAATATTTATCAAAAAAAACAAATTTATGCGGAGAAGGGACAAGATTCAAGCGTTCAGAGTTCAGGATCTATCATCTACGATCTAAAGGTCTAGGATATGGGGCTTATGGGTTCCAGGGTCTACCATCTAAGATCTAGGATCTAGGGTTTATGGGTTCCACGGCCAAGGATGTAGGGTCTATGATCCAGACTCAGCGATCTAGGTTGTAAGATTTAGGATCTACCGTCTAGGATGTACGACGTACATTCTAGTTTGTAGGGTCTCACAGTTCACGGTTTTAGAGTTTAATCCTCAATAATCTACGCTTTCAATGTTCAGATTAAAGGGTGCAATTTTTCATAGTTTCCGAGTTTATGAGGTTTAGTATTTAGAGGTTCCTTTTGCTGTTTTGCCTCTGCATGCAGCATCGTTTGTCAGTGCTAGTCCTGCCTAGTCTTCGTGTGCTGTTCTTTGGTTTACCGCTCTTCCATTGTACCCTCTCTTCGCATTTAATTCGTTTTGTTCCCTTTCTCCTTGCGCTTCCTTCTTTGGCATCCCTGCTATTCTGCTGCTAGCCGTTTTCTGCCTCTCGCGAAACGCCGTCACTGCGTCCTCGTAAGAAGGAGGAGGATTGTGTCTCCGAGCAACGCGTCGACCAACGCGGCCGAGTGTAAGAAGGCGGAGAGATTGTCTCTCCGAGCAAACGTGGCCGGGTAAACCAGATTGCCTCCGAGTGTAAGAAGGATTCGACGAAGTAGCCGCGTGACAGAGAAGCGTTGACGGAGAGAGCGTTGACGGAGAGAGCGTTGACGGAGAACGGGACGTGTGTATGTATTTGTTGTTGTTGTTAATGAACGCGCTAGTAGTAGTAGTAGTAGTCGGACTTTTTTTTTTTAAGAAGGGAATAAGTAGTTGTATATTATGCAGACTGCGTCAACGTCGGAGCTAGACTTTGTGGATGCGTGGACAAAATTTGTATGGAACGCCAAAATAAAGAATCCGACCGCGTATTGGGTGAGTTGAGTTAATGAGGAAGTTACAATAAAGGCGTGTCACATTTAACGGTTTATATATATATGTATATTTAGGTCTAGGACCTATGTGTATAAGTGAACTACGTATGTGAATATCGTAGAATAGAACTAGTGTTGCGTAGGCGAATGCTGCACGCACAAAATACGATGGTCTAGGTGGACAGTAGTAATCCATATAATATAATGAAGCAGGAAGGAGACAAAGGAATTATTCATACCTGTATGGAATGTATTGCACATGCAGGACTTGTTATATACTGAGGTTAATAATATCTTCGATGCCCTAACTCGTGTGATTGGTCAGAGTAACCTTGCTAACAGTACCATTTGTGGGGAACTATACTTCGACGCGGACACGAAAACATGCTTAAGAAGATGTCCAGCAATTGTAAGTCTTTTACTATACATGAGGGGGTATGAATATGGAGCACAGCACTGGACAAAGAGCGACGTGGAAACGAGGTCCGCAGAGGGCTTCAAGAAATATTTAAAGTGTATATTAGCGAAAGAAGCTATAATGGAGCTGTATGGTCGAAGTGAGGAACATCTGCAAATTATTCAGGAAATTTCGGACACATTAAGAAATGGAGGTACAGTGTGGACACAGAAATATGCGGACGGGATATGTGAAGGGCAGGATTATGGGAAATACATATTCGGATCAGGAATTATGAGACAAAGCATAAGGAACCGCTTGAAGGAGTTAGGGAAGCATTGGGTACGAGGAGGAAGAAGTCCAGACAGAACATCGGGCAAATGTACGTGGCCGCACGCAGTGCAGATGGAGGAAGAGCAGCAGAATACTAAGAGTTGTAAAGACAGGGCCAAGGAAGGAAAGCAGGATGAGCAGGAAATAATGGAATTAATGGATGTCGACAAAACGCAGTTGACAACGTATCTTAAGACAGTAATAAGCGCAAGTTGGACGTCGCATGCAAGGTGTACAATGGAGGAAAGAATACGGAACAAGATACAGACAGGAGTAAGGGCAGTTGGTGTAGGAGTAACAGGGGGACATCCACGAACCACGGTATCGTCCAGCACACCGGCACGAGACTCTCGCCCGCCGCGGACACGCCCAGGAACAGGACCAGGAAGAACACCAAGACCAGCATCGGAAGAGCCACACCGCCCGCATCCGGAGCCACCGAATGCGAAGAGCGGCGCCGACGGACCCGGTGCAAAGGCCGCCAAACCAGTAGCGGCGAAACGGGGAAGACGTCATCATCTGGTGGTGGTCCTAGTGGTGGTGCTAATACTGCCGCAGGAGGGAAGGAGAAGGCACCGAAGGAGATCGAACCAGAGCAATGTCTAGGAGAAAAAGTATGGGAATGGAGGCCTCGGGAAATATACGTGGTGCAGGGTTATAGTGTAAGTTAGAATAGGAGAAGTGCAGAAAAAAGAACAGCAGAGGGAACTGAGGGGCAGTAATGCATGATTCATAGGGTATATACATACATGTGAGGGTGTACATGTTTTCAGGAGGGTAGGACCTAGCGCGCATGGGAACATGAGTACTCTTCTCCGTGTTCGTGTACAAAATGTAGGCTGATCAATGGAAAAACGTACAGAAGGTGTTGACAGACTTTATTGAACACTTGAGTGAAAATAATGAACACTTTGACGCGTACGGTGCCAACTGTGATAATATATCTTGGGAAGATATGAGGAAGGGAGAATACCATAGAGGTCAGAGGGTATCGGATATGATGAGATGCAGAATCATGTCAGGGGCCTTATGGTTTGCGAATGAAGCACGGAACCGTGGGGAGCAGGATACAGAGGACGAAAGGCGAAGATGCGAAGTGGCCCATGTTTTTGGACACTTACTAAAAACACAATATTGTAAGGATAAGACGCCATGGCCAAGAGGTGTCGAGTATGCATACACAGTCCTGCAAAAAATGGGGAAATCCGTAAACGGGCACAACGGAATGAACGGTCCCGTTATGAATAAGAGATGCACCATGTGTGGGTATACGGGCTATAAGCACAATGTGCAAGCAGTAGATTTGAGAATAGCACAATGGTTAATGAAGGAAGGAGGAATATTGGGAGAACTAGCAGAAATGGAGAAGAAAATGCCCTGTCAGGAGTATTGGGAAAAATATACTCAGGAGCAGGTAAAACCACAGGACACTATGGACAACATTTTGACTGCCCAAGGACAGGTGGAAAAGCAGAGACTGGACAAGGAGGTAGTAGAGAAAGTGGAACAGGTGTTTAATGAAGCGAAGAAGAAGGTAGACGCAGAAATTCAGAAAAAGA